TAGAACAATAGAGTATAGATCGTCCCATCCCAATAAATTCAATACAGAGCATGTTGCAGCCCAAAAAAGCCATTTAAGTAAATAAATATATAAATAATTAAATAGACTAATATCAATGAGATGAGACTTTTTCCAACCAATCGGCAAGTGCAGTCACTGGAGTTGCTGAACCAGGACGCCAATCGCCAATGTTTTCAGTTTTTTTACTTTCTCGTTTAAATTATAAATTATTTATCTTTTTAATTTCTTATGTATTCAATGGATTTTTAATGAGTTTTTTACATTAATATTACCAATATTATTTGGAGTTACAAAAAACAGACTAATGCTAAGGAACACGTTGTAAGGTAGGGCATGAAGTCATATTTTTGTTAGGGGGTTTAAAGTGGTTATATTTGTGTAAAATTTTTTCATTTTTAATCTTATCGATTATTATGTGATTGAGTGACTTATGTTAGTTACGGAGTATTTATCAAGTATGAGTAATTTATAATGGAATTTAAGTATTTAATAAATTAGGTTGTTATTTATTTAGTCAAGTAATTATAGTAATTATTATACTTAACAATCTGATTTTATTTTATTATTAGATTATCTTTACTACTCCGTATTATGTTTTAGTAAATTATGTTTTCACATAAATTATTAAGTATTATCTAATAATGTATTTTAGATTGTTAAATAGGTTTCGTTATTTAATACTCTAAAAATAATTATTATTATAATCTTTATTTATGTTTTATACGAAGTATCTATGTGTGTGAGAAAGGAAGGCTAATTGTTTTTTGTCATACAAGGGTCTCCATTTTCTCGTGACCGGCCCTGATTTTCATGAATGGTTGCTCCACATGACTAGCAAATTGTTGCCAAGATTAAATACGACTAAAATATGTCAAACGCTCTCGTGATATACAAAATTTGTGTTAAAGTCATTTAGAAATGTGTTAATTAAAGCCCTCTATGTTATAATTAATCATGCGTATTACCCTCTCAAAAAAAATTGATTGCCAAGTAAAGGATAAATGGTTAATATGTTTATATAAATTAGAGATCTTGAAAAATTTATTGGTTTATCCAATAATGAAATTCAGACAATTGAATTTCAAATTATTAAATTTGTTGCTTTAGGGAGTTTCGTTCATGGTTAATTATAAAAACAAAGGAGTTTGACGCATTTTTTTAAATACAAAGTGTAAATGCATAAACCTTGTATATTACAAGGAGGTTTGATCGATACATTTTACGAAAATTAAATAAAATTGAAATTATGCTCTTTTTACATTTATTAGTTTAAAGCATAAATGGAATTTAAAAAAAAACAGTAAAAAGAGGAAATAGTGGGTTCTTTTGAATTCGAAAAATTACATGTTGAATTAAAAAAAAAAAACTAACCGTAAACTAAAAAATTATATCATACTCCCTAAATGCTAAACATTAAACATCTCACACCACCAAAGTAGTTCATATAATTTAAAATAAAAATATAAGGAGTAACCATAAAGATGGTACAAATCATTAAAAGATGTAAGTCCTAGTTAATACGGAGTACATATATTTATATTTATATTTATATTTATATTTATATTTATATTTATATTTATATTTATATTTATATTTATATTTATATTTATATTTATATTTATATTTATATTTATATTTATATTTATATTTATATTTATATTTATATTTATATTTATATTTATATTTATATTTATATTTATATTTATATTTATATTTATATTTATATTTATATTTATATTTATATTTATATTTATATTTATATTTATATTTATATTTATATTTATATTTATATTTATATTTATATTTATATTTATATTTATATTTATATTTATATTTATATTTATATTTATATTTATATTTATATTTATATTTATATTTATATTTATATTTATATTTATATTTATATTTATATTTATATTTATATTTATATTTATATTTATATTTATATTTATATTTATATTTATATTTATATTTATATTTATATTTATATTTATATTTATATTTATATTTATATTTATACTTATATTTATACTTATATTTATACTTATATTTATACTTATATTTATACTTATATTTATACTTATATTTATACTTATATTTATACTTATATTTATACTTATATTTATATTTATATTTATATTTATATTTATATTTATATTTATATTTACATTTATATTTACATTTATATTTATATTTATATTTATATTTATATTTATATTTATATTTATATTTATATTTATATTTATATTGATATTTATATTTATATTTACATTTATATTTTTTTATTTGTGTTTATATATATATGTTTATATTTTAAAATGAAAACAAAATTACAAATCAGACTTTACAAATATTTTGAAAAAATAAGACTGAAATTAAGACTACAAGACCACAAGAAATGCAATTTTAGTAATAAATGACACATGAAATGAAATTAATAATGAACAAAAAAGGAAAAATTCAGATGTGTAAAAATTATGAAATCATAAAAATTATAGAAAAACATTTCTTTTTACATAAAAGAAAAGTTGATAAATCTGTTAACCCTAAAATCGAAAATAATTTTAGAGTAATGCAAAATAAAAAAAAGTCATAAGGAAAGAGAAAGGCAATAAAAATCATAAATTTCTTAGCGGTGGAGCTATACGACTTTAATCCTAGGATTTGGTGTGCGCTGATCGCGCTTCTCCTTCGGCTTGAAGGAACAAATGTGAAGGAGGGGACTCAACGATTGTAAGAGATGGCTTTTGACTTAGCGGTGATGTCTGATTGGAGAATTTGGGCAAATCATTAGTGGCGATCTCTTATAGTTGTGTTTTTTGATGACGAGGCTCCGCCAAATTGGAGCGACAAAGAGAGCGGTACGTTGGGCGTGACAGTGTGTGGTCTCTACAAATGACTTTTTCTTGGAAACTTTAACTATATGGCCGTAGGTCTGGCCGGTACGGAAGCATCAGAAAGTTGGAATATCATATATGGCTTTTGGATTTTTCTAGGCCTTCTGAATCGCCGTCTGGGTGTGAACAAGTAGTTAGTGTTTGCAAGAAAACATTTCAAGGATGCTCTACAACAGGACTGTGTGGAGCTCTTATTGGAATATATATTTTCTCTAGTCTTACTTTAGTATGCGTTTCATTTTGTTGTTTGGTTTCTTGTTAAAGTCCATGTTGCTAGGTTTGCTGTGATGATTGGAAATTTAGCGTATTTTATGTCGTTAGAAGTATACAGATGCATATATGGGTCAAGCCCATTTCGTGGTTGACGATTCATGTTGTTCTTTCATGGGTGACCGTTTCTTTGTCTAATTGTAGAGCGTATAGTCGTAGTTGGTGGACGTTATTTGGTGATAGGTATGGTATGAGTTTTATGTGTTTGATATAACGATCCCAAAACTAATGATATCAATATAAACGATTTCCTTTCATTTTTATAAATATACATAGTACGTAGTAGTTTTTTTCTTTTTTGAAAGAAACACCAAATCACTCGAAATTCGAAGAGCACATCCTGCTCAATCCAATTCGTTGGACATAAAACCTTGCACAAAATCTCTGTACAAAGAGGAGCCCTGCGATGCCCAGCTCGTCAATTGAAAACAAACCACCGGACAAGCTATACTGTTGCTGGAAAAAATGGTTCAAACCTAGGGATAGACCCTAGGTGCCGTCCGCCAGATAAATTAGTTACTCCCTCCGTCCCGGAAAATTGTTCCTGCATTGACTTGGAACGGACTTTAAGAAAGTGGGAATAAAGTGAAAATGTATGATTGTGGTTGAGTAAAATAAAAGTAAATGAATTGTAGCCACAAAAAACTTTCCAAAAGGGGAAAGTGGAACAATTTTTTGGGACGACCCAAAAACAAAACCGGGAACAATTCTCCGGGACGGAGAGAGTAATTGTTATCATCATACGAAGTATACATAGTACTTTTTTCATTTCCCCTTGTACTTCCTAACTTATAAAAAAAATCTTTGGAAGTAACATAAATCTTTCAATTATTAAAGTGTTGATGGCTGAAATGGATAAATAAGTGTGAAAATAGACACTTAAATTGACATTGAGAAGTAACATAACATTGTATAACATGAGAGACACTACTATTGAAGTATTGATAATAGAATGCGGAGTATAAAATTGGATGTAGATATGCACTATTGAAAATTGGTAGGAACAATTTACTAACGGAGATATTTATAGATATTTATAGTTTTCTACAAAACTAAGAAACTGAAAAAAGAAAACAGAAAAACGTGTCTATTGTAAATATCCGTTGGACGATTGGAGAATAGAAAACAATAAAATGCGTTTAGCAAATCATATTGCAAAACTAAAAAATCGATATATGCATTTGTGTTTCCTTAATGATTGGAGAATAAGTTTTAGTAGTTTCCAAATTTAAAATACACGCACGCTGCAATGCTGCTATAATGAAATGACCTATTTACTCCTAGTGGTGGACTCGATCTCGGTTCCGGTCAGATCGACAACCAAGCTGTCCTGTCCATTCAATTCGACGATCGGCGGTCCTTGTCCATTCCATTCAATGACCCGACGAACCCTATCTGGTCTGGTTGACGACCCATCAGTCACTGTTGCGGTCTGGTCCGTGTTTGTTTAAATTACTGTTTCAAAGTGAAGAGTTTCAAATGAGTTGTTGGGTTGCCAATCAATAAAAAGGAAAAGAATTAGCCAAACTAACTGTTGGGACCTACCGTGACATGACGATTTCGGTCCCAAATTTTCTATACTTGGGACCGGATACTCTATTTGGGTTGTACTAGGTCCGGACGGGACAATATTCTCGATCTTCATGACGATTTTAGAATCGAGTGAAATTTTATGATGAACATGTATTTAAATTTGGAAAATAATAACAGAAAATTAGAAAACGGGAAACCAGAAAATCAAAATAGAAAATTAGAGAATTGAAGAAGGGAATTAATTTTCTTTTCAAATTTTCCGTTTTAATCGGCAGCAAATGGATTGAAAGGAAAACTCAGCAAGGCAGCATACATAGACAACTGGGTACTGGACAACACTCTTTTGGCTGACGGCGAGTCAGCGTTCCGAATCACCTTCGACTGGACTGAGGACTTTGGAATTCCGGGAGCATTCATCATTAAGAACAATCATCCCAATGAGTTCTTCCTCAAAACCCTAACCCTCGAAGATGTTCCCGGTCACGGCAAACTTCATTTTACATGCTTCTCTTGGGTTTACCCTGCCAGTAAGTATAACTACGAACGCGTCTTCTTCGCAAACCAGGTACGAATTTCATCTTCATGAGTCAACCGTAACCATTTGTTGGATTTCTTTGGTGTTCTTCGTTTTGATATTGATTATCCTGGTCTGTAAAATTTGGGTCTGTTGTATCCTGTATTGGAGCTAAAGCATGTTGTTTGATGATATAGTTCAGTTTGACTATGTTAAATCTTTACTTGCCTCTTCAAATAATTATTGCAGGTTTATCTTCCAAGTGAAACGCCTGTCCTGTTGAGGCAATATAGAGATGAAGAGTTAGTGAACTTGAGAGGAACAGGAACTGGCGAGCTTAAAGAATGGGATAGAGTGTATGACTATGCTTACTATAATGATCTTGGTGAGCCAGACAAAGGTCCTGAATATGCTCGGCCAGTCCTGGGCGGGAATTCCGAGTATCCTTATCCTCGACGAGCAAGGACAGGCAGATCACCCACAAAGACAGGTAACGCATTATTTGGTTTAAAGCTTTGATTTCATTTTTTTTATCAGTGTTCGTACTCAGTATGTAATTTGAACTTCCCTTACTGCCTTGCCAGATCCTAATTCTGAGAGTAGGATTCCCATTATTCCGGGCTCGGATATTTATGTTCCCAGAGATGAGAAATTCGGACACATGAAATTGGCCGACTTTCTTACCTATTCTTTGAAATCTCTGGTCCAGTTCCTTCTCCCCGAGTTTCAGTCTCTGATTGATTCTACACCAAATGAGTTTGACACCTTTCAAGATATACTTAACCTGTATGAAGGAGGGATTAGACTGCCTCAAGGGAACTTGCTCAAAGCTCTCACAGATAACATTCCCATCGAGAGTGTGAAAGAAATTCTCCGTAGTGATGGTGAGGGACTCTTTAAGCTCCCAACCCCACAAGTTATCCAAGGTATTTGTAAAGCTTCTGTTTATTTCCTTGTGGTACTTAAGGTTCTTGCTTTACGTTCCTAATTTCTAAACTGTGGGTATCGCAATTCGCATAGAGGATAAAACTGCATGGAGGACGGATGAAGAATTTGGAAGAGAGATGCTTGCAGGAGTGAACCCTGTTATCATTTGTCGCCTCCAAGTAAATGAATTTTCGTAAACTATGTAAACTTCTTGACAAACAATTGTACAATGGTGTCTGAATTGTCTGGAAAAAGATTAAAGATGAATCCTTAAGCTGTTCACTATTTTTATGTGCAGGAGTTCCCACCAAAAAGCAAACTGGATCCTAATGTTTATGGGGACCAGACCAGTAAAATTACCAAAGAGCATATCCAAGACAGCCTAGATGGTCTTTCAGTTGAGGAGGTAGTTTCATTTCGTTTGTTGGTTGTGTACTTGTGTTTAACTTGTAAAACTAATTGGTCGTCCTGTTTATCAAGATATTGATGCTATGTGATGTTATTGGTACAGGCAATCAACACTAACCGGTTATTCATATTGAATCACCATGACACGCTCATGCCATACTTAAGGCGCATAAACGCAACAAATAACAAAATATATGCCTCAAGAACATTGCTTTTCTTACAAAGAGATGTTATTTTAAAGCCTATTGCAATTGAACTTAGCTTGCCGAATTCACTTGGAGATGAATTTGGTGCAGATGCCAAAGTGTACACACCAGCCGAACAAGGGGTTGAAAATGGGTTGTGGCAATTAGCTAAAGCTTATGCAGCTGTGAATGATTCAGGTGTTCATCAGCTAATCAGCCACTGGTACGGATATTATCTGTTTAAAAATAATATAATTTTTGTTATTCTATCGGTCTATCCCTTACCTATTCTGTGAATTTTGATTTTGAACTTTTCTAACAGGTTGAACACACATGCAGTAATTGAGCCATTTGTAATAGCAACAAATAGGCAAATGAGTGTGCTTCACCCAATATATAAGCTTCTACATCCCCATTTTCGCTATACAATTACAGTTAATGCTTTGGCTCGCCAGATCTTGATTAATGCTGGCGGGATTCTTGAGAAGACAGTTTTCCCTGAAAGATATGCCATGGAATTGTCTGCTGTAGTTTACAAGGATTGGGTTTTTACTGATCAAGCACTCCCAACTGATCTTGTTAAGAGGTATTTCATGATTCCGATATCAATCATTGTCTTGTCTTACTACCCCCATGTATACAAACCATAAACCCTATGAAGCACGGATACTTCACTAGGATACCCGTACCGTACGTTCCCGGGCCGTATCTTCAATTTTTAAAAGATTCCAACTTTTTTGTTAATTATTTTAATATTTCGGATACCCGTATCTCGGCGGATACACGTATCAACTTCTTTTATATAGAAAACACCCAAAATATAAATAATAATTTTTTTTAAATGAAAAACTAAAAATAAATTTTACATTATCCAAAATGCTTCAGTGCAAAATTTGTATTGGAACTTTTAGTTTTTATATTAGAGTGTCGTTTTCTATCTCCTTTATCCAAGAACTTTGAATACTTAAGACTTATAAATTCAAAACTGTGATTGTTTGACTTATTTCTTATTTTAAATTAATGACTTATTGACTATGTTTATATTTTGAGATGCACTCGTGTATATGAGATAAAATATGAATTTTTTCTAATTATTTTGATAATGTTAAATTTTTGAATGCCATGAATGGGCAGTGGTCCGAGGATAATATATGTATATATTTACAAAAAAATCTTGTAATTTTTAATATTTATAAATACACCCCCAGAGTTTTTAATATTTACAAACACACCCTCATAACTCTTAATATTTATAAATGTATATCCCCGTATCCGTATCCTACTTTTTTGGATTTTGTCGTATCCTCGTACCCATTTCCGCGTTCACGCGTACCCGTATCGGTGCTACATAGCATAAACCTCATGCACTGATTGTAGAAGAATAATGTGCTTCAAAATGTTGAAATTATCCGATATTTGCGTGTTTTAGGTCTTTGATAGTGATATGAGTGGTTCTTATATTTCTCTAGGGTTTTTAGAACTCAGGAAGTATCAACTATCAAGAAGTATTGAATATTGATAAGCATTGCAATATTTAATTAGTATTGCCGTATTGGTATTGAGCATATCTTTAAAATTAGTAATCCCATTATTTTCCAAAAAACCTCAAAATGTGGTTTTATTTCCAGAAATTTTGTGATCCAAGGAATCAAAATATCAAACAATTTCTCCCTAAATAGTTACAGGTTTTAAACCTGTAACTATGGTCTTAGTGTAATACTTTACAAGTCTATGATATTTAAGAGGTGTGGCTGTTGAAGACTCGAGTTCCCGGCATGGCGTTCGGCTACTAATCGAGGACTATCCATATGCTGTTGATGGGCTAGAAATATGGTCATCTATCAAGACATGGGTCGATGAGTACTGCAAGTTATATTACAAATCAGATGACATGGTTCAGAAAGATACTGAACTCCAGGCCTGGTGGAAGGAACTTAGAGAGGAAGGACATGGTGATTTGAAAGACAAGCCATGGTGGCCTAAAATGCAGACAGTCGGGGAGCTGATCAACTCATGTACCATTATTATCTGGATAGCCTCTGCCCTTCACGCAGCAGTCAACTTCGGTCAATATATGTATGCTGGTTATCTCCCGAACCGCCCAACATTGAGCCGCAGATTCATGCCGGAGCTTGGAACAGGTGACTATATGGAGCTTGAAGCTGATCCAGATAATTTTTTCCTCAAAACAATCACTCCCCAGATGCAAACATTGCTTGGTGTTTCCCTTATTGAGATTCTGTCAAGGCACACTTCGGAAGAAGTGTATCTAGGGCAGAGAGATTTCCCTGAGTGGACAAATGATCAGGAAGCACTTGACGCATTTGCTCGATTTGGAAAGCAGCTGGGTGCTATTGAGGATAGCATTATGAAAATGAACATAGATGAAAAGCTCAGGAACAGGACAGGACCTGTGAAAGTGCCTTACACCTTACTCTTCCCTACAAGTGAACCCAGTCTCACTGGCAGAGGCATTCCAAATAGTGTTTCAGTCTAGACGGAGCTTCCGAATTCTGTATGTGATTAAATTTGGATGGTACATATATGTCATTATTTTATTGCAATAAATTGATCTCATTGTGCATGTTTACATGTGATCCATCTGAATAAATGCCTCCATTTGCAAGATGTGTAATAGAAGAAATAAACTTGTGAAAATAAATAATACTGCGAACTATGTCATTTTAATACTCCGCAAGAAGATTACTAGACGCACTATATAAAGGGGAAAATATATTCTGTATGAACTATGAAGTAATGGATAGATATTAGAAAGACACGGTGAAAATACGAAGGACAACTCAATATATCTAATACTCCGTAGTAACTAAGGTTATGCTTGCGCTTTCTTATGCTTATCAAAAGTTTTTTTTTTTTTTACAAAAAACTCAATTCATTTTATTATTAATAATGTTTAAAATACTATGTGGAACAAAAGTGAAAATTCTGCTAGGAGCGTGATTAGTAGCCGCCTTATAGGATGTGAGTGCTACTATTCACTATTTGTTTAGTAAAAATAACTTTAGAGTTACTGTTTGAAGCTAAAAGTATTTTGCAATCCTCCACCATTCCCACCAATGACTCATATTCGGGTCTGATTATGACGGTTAAGGCACACATCTTCTAAAAGTTGCTTACAATTAGATTCAAACAAAACATGTGTGTACCAAGTACTAGCCATCCATTTAATAGCTTCTCATGTCCGATGCTTCCGCCTCTGTTGGACTCATATCCGATGTACATTTACATGTTTTAGCCATACAAAATTGCCCATGATAATCCCGAAGACATGCCCTCAAGCCAACTCGCTTCTCATTTGCAAAGAGAGTGACATCGATATTACACTTCAAGAAGTTACGACTTACGAGGAGGGGGCTGCCACCGGGCTTGAACCAAGCTCCTGGTTGATGACTTTCTGAATGCTAATCCTAGCTCCTTCACAGGAACGCAACAGTTCACTCCCATGAGAAATAACTAGGTGTGTGGTCTCCTGATTGCCTTCTCAACACATTGTATTCCATTTCTTCCATATGCTCCATAAAATCATGTTAAAGGCTTTTAATTTATCCTTTGGGAAGGCTTGGATGATGCTCATCAATAAATCACCTAAACTTTGCGTTGTTGTCATACTTGCTGCCATTTAATTCCATAGCCCTAACTGCTGTCAACATTCCACACTATCTGGGCAAGAACATGATCACAGGCACGCAACACAGCTTATAGGGGGACATATCAACAATCCAAAGGCAAACAATTTAATGGCTAAAATTAATTGGCACTTGATTCCCTTTTCCATACATGTGGACACGATACTCGTACATCAAATATCCACCTTGTTCTACTGGACAGGCAGGAGGGCAGATATCCAAACCTATGTGCAAAAGTGTGAGATTTGCCATAGAAACCAATACCAGAGTCCGAGCCCTGCAAGTTACTCCAGCTACATCATATTCCTAATCATATTTGGGCTGAGATTAGCATGAACTTCATTGGGGGCTACCTAGGGCATATATGGAACAGACACTATACTAGTAGTGGTGGACAAACTAACTAAATTTGCACATTTCATAGCCCTATCTTATCCATATACTGCAAAACGGGTACCTGAAGTATTCATACAGAAAGTAGTAAGGTCGCATGGATTCCCTAAGACAATTGTATACAACGACCGTGTGTTCGTGACTTCTTTCTAGGCATGATAATTACTCAAACTAGAGGTACTAAACTGAAGTATTGTATTGCCTACGATCCTCTAACTAATGGTCAAATTGAAATGGTTAAGAGGTGTTTAGAAACTATGGTGCACTATAGGCAGTAAGCCTAAACAGTGATCCAAATGGTTGCTATGGGTTGAATATTGGTATAATACCAATTACCGTTTCTATAAAGAATAAACTCTAGAAGGCTTTATATGGACAAGAACCCCCAGTTCCAAATCTAATTACAGGGATGTGATAATCATTTTATTAACGTGTTTTATACAATCATATTTAAACGTCACACAATTGTCTCGTGTTGCTAGAAATAATCTTATCAACGATTGGACCATATACGAGGATGATAATACACATGAAGAACCCCAATGAGAAAAGGTCAACCAAACTCACCCCAAAGAACAAACGAAGTCAAGAAAAATGCACAAAATAGAACAAACAAAGCCATCCAGCTTTGGCCAAAGCCGTTCGACTTTCACCTACTTGGCGTCCATATGCCGTCCAACACAGAGTAGAAGCGTCTGGAGCACAAAACGCGAATGCCGCCCGACATTTAGGGAAACCGCGCGACATTCAGAGCCGTGGTTTAATTCATAAATTAAATCCCAAAAGTCGCTTGGCTTCCGGCCCTTGGAGCGAAGACGTAGATATTTTAAAAGCGAACGCCGCACGGCTTGTCCATTTTTCTGATTAAAACAGGCAAGAGTCATCACAATCATGCGGGAGAAAACACCAAAATCTATTAAGGAGCTTACTTTCTTGTCCAAAAATGGCCATTGAAGACCTCCTATTTAAGAGTTTTGAAGCCTCCATCACAAGATATTCCATATTCTCTACAGTTTACTTTCATATTTGCATCTCAAGAGCACCCCTTGATCTTGAGAGAAGTTCTTCATTTGGGGAAGCAATTGTCCACCATAGATTTGGAGTTGTGAGACCATTTTCTTATGTATTTCATCCGATTTAAGCATTTCAATTATTGTAATTTCATTATTAGTTATTTCAGCTAATTTTCCATATCCAAGGTTAGAGACAAAACTTTACGCACTCTAAGTGTTTGATGTATGTTCTCAACCAACTTATTAGGATCTTCCCTTTTTATTTTAATGTGTATGACTACGGTGTACAACATATTAATATATCGTCGGGTTTATTTTATTTGAGCAATTAACGTTGAATAAACCGTGAACTTAAAGGTTAGACATATTCATATTGTGGATAGAAATATACCCAGTTGAATATGGTGGGTTTTATAATGTCTTAATCTTCAATGGGGTTATCTTTAGATGAATGTGAACCGTGAGGGGATTTAAATGTAGAGTTAATCACAATCTTGCTGTTGTAACATGAGTTAGAATACTTTAATGACATTCCACTCATAAGAACTGGTGAAAGAACATATATTCATTGCTAGGAATCGTTTAGGAGTAATCACGAACCCTTGGTTGCTTTTATTATCATTTGAATCCAAAAATCCATGCTCTTTTCCTAAATCTTTTACCAAATCTCTTTTTAACTTTGAATCATATAAACAATGTTTCCTTGTGTCTGACTCAGTATTTTTTACCGGAATTTATTATTACATTGACACTTATACACTTGCAAGTGTTAGTCGATCAAAATGCAACACTTATTGCATTGGATAAAGTAACTAGAATGATTGTTGAAAGAAATGGTATGATAGAAGAACTAAAAAGAACCTTAGCCGCATAACTATTTTTTACGAACAATACACGGTCAGAGCTAAAACCATAACTCAATCCTCCAAGCTACAAGCGAGTCTACGGTGGTTTCATCTTGAATACCAAAACCTCTAGATCTATACTAGCAGTGCGACCAAGATAGGCTGAAGGTAACATTGATCTCACAGTGTTTTGGTACGAGTATGACCCAATTAGATTGTTCTTAGTTTTGTTGTGCTTGTTCTATCTTATGGCAGCTCTTTCCCAGGCCCCGGTGATCCGGTATGTTTTGTCTCTCTCGATGTGAGAAGTTGCATTGGTGTCTTGGTCAGCTTGCCCAGTCTGGGATTTTTGTCTACCTTCTTATGGGCTGCGTAGAGAATGGAAGAAACATAAAAAATGTTTTTGTCTCAACCTGTTTCTATGTCTTTTCAGAATGAAGTAAGAAGAAGAATCTAGTGTTCACCCTTATTGCAACATCTCATCCTCTTCCGGAACCACTTTTGTGCCAGGAAGAGTATTGTGGAAAGACTTTATTCCAACATTATTTCTTCTTTAGTAGACTTGTTTTTATTTTCGTTCGAGTAGGTTTGATTTGGATATTTGGATTTTTGAAATACTTTTTATAGGTAGTGTTTTGGTTCCTGACGGCACTAAAGTCGTGTGTGTCTCAGAATTAATCAATAGTAACACTTATACGTAGTATAGTGAAGTAGAGTTCGTATCCACAGGGAAATAAATACTTCTCTGCTATAAAATTGTAACCAAAGGGGTTTTTAAGATTGTTTGAACTTAAGAATAATTAAAGACTAAGATGAACAACTTGTGTCATTTAAATTAATGAGATAAAAGATTTGACTTTGCTACTTTCCACTTATTGAAATGTTTGTCGCTCTCGGTTATATATTTAACTTGTCCCCTCTTGAATACTCAATCGTTATATATCTTCAATTCATCGAGGGTAGTTATTACTTATTAATAATGAGACCGCTCATTAACAACGCTTACTATTAGCTAAGTGTGGAACATCGTCATATAACGACTTGATAGTAGCATTTATATGTTAACTCTTTGATGAAATTAATTGAGATTGATAAGTTCAACATAACAATTTTCGTTTAACTAACTCATTAAGCCCTCTTAAGATTATTAACCATGAGACCATGTATTAATAACTCGAAGTTACTTGTGAAATCATCAATCATTAACCATCAGTTCATTAGTCGTTTTTGGTAGTAATTAATGTCTCACTTTGTAGCACTACCCAACATTAATATAGAGATAGAATAAATGAAAAATTAATATTCAAAGGAAGAAGTTAAGAAAATAATTCACAACTTTAACATTCAACAAGTTTTAAGAGCAGAACCTAGAAGAAAGAGTTTAGCTCCTCATTTGGAGCTAAACTCTTTCTAAACCGATCTTAAGTATATGGAAGAAGGGATATAAAAATGGGAAGGAAATTGGGTGTAATTATAGGTGTTTTGGTGAGGTTGGATCGGATACCCGACCGAGTATAGAGGATAACTGACCGGGTATCCTGAGCAGTAGCTACGAAAGTGCTGAAATCTAGTCATACCCGACCGGATATGTCAATATACCCGATTTGGTATATGACCAAATCTGGTTTTCCTACGTTCACTTGCTTTATTTGATATTTTATATCTCCGGGACAAATCACACCCGACCGGATATTGATTATACATGATCGTTTGTGACATCAAATCACATTTTTCGCATGATTTCTTGTTCCTTTTCACCTTCCTTTGATCTTGTAAGATTCTTTAATTTCC